TGGCGGAGGTGGTGATGTGAGGGGAAGAGGAGATGTCTTGATGCAAGAGAGAGGGAGAGGATATCATGGGCGAGGGTGTGTGAATGTTACGGGCAAGTTGCCGAGTGATGATGGCGGCCGGCTGAATACCAAGTTGGGCAACTAACAGAAAGAGACAAGTTGAATCATCAACCGTGAGGGAAGGTAGCTTCAGCCTTCAGTCAGCCCAGCGCAATAAAGTCCGAACCCAGGGTTTGGGTGGTGGATGGGAATGCGATTGGGATTGTGATTGGGGTTGGAAAATGTATGGCAAAGGGGGCACAGTGGCAGCAGCAGCAGCAGCAGCAGACAGCGGCAGCAGTCTCCATCGGCGTTAACCCGTGTTGGTGGTGTGTCGGGGTACCAAAGTAAAAATCGCTAGCCGTGGGGCGCCACCGGTGCGATCTGCAGTTCCAGCGGGACGACGTCGCTGTTTGGGACATGGCCTGGGGGGAAAAGATTCCGAGCTCACGGACGATTCCTCACATTACGGAGCATCCGTAGCTTTGAGTCTTTGGTTGACGGGGTTGAGTTGCGAGGCGTTACTTAGTCTCCTGGGCATTCTTTGCATCATGTACCTCCCTCCACCTCATCACCTTCAGTCAGCAACTCGTGTTTACTGCATAATGGTCTCTCTGTCGTTCGGCTACTGATACCGCAGAGTGTATTACCGAATACCGACACGCAACCTACCTGCAAAAAACAACTCGGTGGCAGGAACGAACTCCACGCCTCAGTCACCTCAGACTCAGCATCCGCTAGCAGGCCGTGGTCGCGCCAAGCCCGTGTGGGCAGGGTTCCTCCTCCTGGGCCGCCATGCCTTTACCACAGATCCCATTGGCTCCTCCGCCCAATGTCGTACAGCTGATTCGCCCGCCGCACCGCAGTCTGCCAGTCCCTGACTTTTGCCGGGCCCTGGCTGGCTGTCGCGAATCCACTGTCTCTCCACGCCGGCCAACTTACCAAGTCTCGCTGCTCCGAACATTGCCCGGACCAAGACACCAGGTCTCGGAGCATGCAAGTCACAGTCGAATCGAGAATCAAACACATCTTCATCGTCATCCTCATTGTTCTCCAAGCAATCTGTCATCCTCACCAGACACAACCAACCTTAGTTCCTGCTTAGATCCAAACTCTTCCCAACGTTAAAATTGGAAGCTGACAGAGCGGACCCCAGCCTTAGTCAAACCATAGGTACCTACCTACCTATCCAGGTCAACTGCTGCTGCCGCCGGCCGGGAACCCAGGAACACCCCCCAAGCCCCCGGGCCCCCCTTCAAACCTTCTCTCTCGGCAAACCGTACCGCTGGAATGGGACTGGGAAACCAGAAACCACAGAGAGCACGCTCACGGAACCCGGAGAGGGAAAGCCGCCAACGAGAGAAAACCTACCTACCTACCTTACCTAGGTACTCTGTAAACACTGCACCTACCAAAACGCCTCAAGGCCTGGCCCGCGCCCATGACTTCAAGCTTCCCCTTTCGGGACGCCATCCCTCGCCTTTTTGTCCCCAGCAGACGCCACCAAAGCCCACAGCCAACCAACCACTCGCTCCCAACACCGCATCGATCACCAGTCACCAGTCACCACCCATCGCTGGCTGTCTCTGTTCATCTGCTTCCGATTTGCCCTGCAAACCTCCGCTGTCGTTTTGTCTTTGCCTCCTCCTGGGTGGGCAACATACGACGAGCAGCACCTAACATAGCAAGGCCCCCCCAAAGACGAAAACATCTGAGCGGCGCACCGCCGTCAGGGAAACGTTAACGGCACAGCCAACAACCACACACAAACACCCGGCCTTCCTTTTCCCGCGTTTCGTCCAGAGAATCCAAAATCCCACCGGTCCTCAGCCAATGCGGACGTCGCTATATTACCCTCGGCTTATACGATCCCTATCCTAGTTGTTGTCCCAAGTCTGCTTGCCCCCCTCTACGAGTGCCTACCACGAATAGCAAGTTCGGTTTCTTTTCCCCAGGTACGTACGGAATCCTCTAAACTGCTGGCGCGAACGAACCAGCCATTGACAGCCCGCCCGTCGGGGGGGCCTGTAAACGCAAAATCGGACAAGACCAGACCAGACCAGGCACCGGGCCGCCATGGGATGGGGTGGTGCGCCGCCGTCTGTCTCTGCGTGTATCGTGCTAAGTTGGTGCTTGGGGCCCTGTCTCGATATAGCCGAATCGTCGCCAGGTGTCACGCAATCTGCTATCGTACTGCATGCGATCCGCCGCTAATGAAGTGTCTATCCCACGACGCCTGCCGAGCCGGTCCAGTGCCAAACAAACCACTGATTCACACAACGATTGCGCATCGGGCATCCCTTCAGCTGACACCCGCCGTGTGACCCCATCACCACATCGCACTTGGCAGCGTGCCTGGACTCACTGTCCAACATCGTGGAAGCCGGTGTAAGGTTCACTAAAGGCGAGACGGTGCCAGCTGGATGCTCTTCGTCCCACCACGGCCATGTCCATGTGGCATGCCGCGCTGCCCGACTGGGACAATGTCTCGCTCGCTACCTGATTTAGCCAGCGGGTATTTGGCCCAAAAACACATGAGTGAAGTGGCGGCATACCCGTCCAAAACCACAACAAGTGGTCGACGTTGACGATGATGATGCCCAAGACAGTGACAGACAGCTCGGCAGTCCAGCTGGCCCACTCGTCGTGTCGCTGCAACCAGGACTTGTCCCGGTACGCGCACCATACAACGCAAACACACCGCATCTCTGGCCGACGCACCTCGACGGGAACACCTTCCATCCGGCTGAAGGGACCTGCAGGGCCCGTGTGGGGGCGGACTGGAAGCAAGCACCTCAAGCAAAGCAAATGCTCCTGTAGGTCGGCCGCGGCGTGCCTGCAGCAGCAGCAGCAGCAGCAGCAAGGCGGCCTACGTACCTATCTTTCCCTGGGCATGCAAGTCTGCCTGCCTGCCTTCGCCAGCCTGCAGAAGAGTGGCCCGCAGATGACGAGACTTTCCGCCCAAGATAACAAGACCATCGTAAGAGCTGGGCATGCAGGCCGCTCAAACGACACCAACCCCCCGAGAGAAAACCCCCGGTGGGCAATCTCGGAGAATGCGGAGGAGTGGCCGCTGACCAACAAGTACATGTTTTTGCTGATTTTGTGTTTTTTTGGCCTGCGATATGTAATCAACGCTCTCGAAACCCAGGTTTCCGAAAATGCAAGTTCCGTAATGTCCATAGTCCGCGCCCCTCCGCAGGCCGCATCTCCCGAAGCAAAAGGCCCCGCAAAACCGGCCCCCAAGATTCCTGGCGCTGTTGGAGTTCGCGAAGCCGGACTCGCACCTCGTCGTATCTCGCACCGCTCCATCTTCACAGCCGCAATTTATCCAACTCTCGCACCGCGGCAAAAAGCAACGAACGAGAACAACCGCATCCTCGTGAAAAACCCCCTCGCAAAGCCAACCGGGATAAGCCCGGCCCGTAGCACAGCTCAGACGGTGCTCCCCGTCCGGTCTCAGGCCACGACGACGCCAGAATCTCAGAGTGTGTCCCTTCGTTATCGGAACCTCACCCGCGCAAAGTATCGTAATCATGGCCGTGAAGTATGCGTAAACTTGTCAAGATCGGGTTGCGTTCGGAGGCCCCGCCCGACGGCTCGCGCGGCCAATTGCAGCTGCGGCGACCACGCCGGGGGTGTGGCTGTATCTGAGAACGTGGTCGGCTGAGCGGGGGTGCCAGCCGGCCGCCGGATTTGCTTCCCCAGCTTGGGAGGATGGATGCCTAACTTTCCAGGCGCGAGGTTTGTGTGATTGCGCCTGGGGAGCTGGGGAAAGCTTCACCTCGCAAGGTAGCAGCACGTGAACATCGCGACGACGTGCAGCAATCTTTCTCAGCCAATTTGCTCGTCTCGTAACGCCAACTTTCCGCACCGAATTCGCAACAATGGCGAGCAAGAGGGATATGCGCCGGCCGGACCTGAGTAAGCACTTTCCGCACGCCTCAATTGGGAGATGTCGCCATGGCTGACCATGATGCGTGCAACAGTCGTCCCCTACCAGGAGCCGCGAGCCAAGGGCGAGAACGCCGAGTTCTCCTCGACGCTGTCGTCCACGCTGCCCATGGCCGCGATGCTCACGCGCAACAAGTTCATCGGATGGTACGCGACACCTTTGATTCCCTCGCCGGCCCCTATTCGATACGTGGCACGTTGGGATGTCAAGAAAAGTAGCTGACACGATACAAAATGCAGGGCCTCCGTCGTCTTTTCCGTGCAGACCTGGCTCGGCGAGAGCGAGGAGACGAAGAAGAGCTCCGCGACGCCGGGGTACTTCTCCGTCGGCATGTCAGGTACGTTCCCCTCCTGAAGCTGAGGCCTCCGGATGGCAGATAGCTAACGGCGCGCGACAGTCATGGCCCTGGCCGTCACATACCTCCCCATGTTCCTCCCTCCGCCCGTCCAGCGCGGCGCCGCCACCGGTACTGGGCCCGCTGCCCCCGTGCCCCCCGCGTAGACGACGGGTTGTGTATGATTATCACTCCGGACGGGTAGTACGAGATGCAGACGGATGAGGCTTTATACGGTGATACGGCGGTACGATATCATGGGAGGGCTTTTTGTCACGAAAAAAGCATATAGCAAGCGCGGGTGACGAGATGCCGTCACGCGAGAGGGAGGGAGTCCGGCGGACGATTTGTAGCATAATACCTCACCGGGCCCGCGCACCGCGTGGCGCCGTTCTTTTGGTACAGAATATCTTAATAGCAGCAAGCAAGCATTCAAGCCATACATTTCTGTTGATTGACTTTCCCGATTGTGCATGTGGAGGCGCCTGCTTTGGTACATTTTTGGGTGGTTTGAAGGGAGGATGTGTCGTATGTCGTCATACCCTTCGCCGTCAGATAACAACCCGGGAGTCGCACGCAGCCTTGCCTCAGCTGCGACGTTACAGGTTCAACCACCAGATCTGCCCAGCACAACAACAAAACTTCAAATTTTGCGAAACAGATCTGGGAAGGATGGGATCCCAGCTCATCGACGAGGCCTCCGTCCTCGCGCAGTTCGACGCCCTCGTGCGTAAGGGGACGGTCCTCTACAGCGACGACCTGAAAAAGATTCACCACCAAGATGGCGGCTTCGAGGTAAACCACCCATCTCATCACATCTCCCGCACACCCAACTAATCAACACAGTTCGAATTCCGCCTCACATCAGCCTTGAAAACCAAACCCGCCGCCGTCTTCGACAACTCGGAGCTCGACACCGCTACCACACCGCCAAAGTCACCCTCGCCCTCACCCGCCAACGCCATGGAGCTCGACGCAGAGGGGCAGATCCCCGGCGGCGACATCTCCGTCGCGGGCTTCGTCATCTCCCCCGTCAACAACACGCACGTGCTCATGTTCAACAAATTCTGCGCCTACAGGCCGCACCTGATCCTCCTCACGGCAAACGGCTACCGGCGACAGTTCGAGCCGTTGGGGAGGGAGGATTTAGAGGCCGCGAGGGATGTGCTCCGCGGGCTGAATTCGAAGGGGGGAAGTGAGTATCTTGTGATTTTCAATTGCGGGAGGGACGGCGGGTGTTCAAGGCTGCATAAGCATATGCAGGTCATACCCACCCCGTCGGATTTCCGGCTGTGGCCTGATGAGGAGGCGTTAGAGGCCGCGGTGCCGTATGAGTACCTCCTCAAGAGGTTCGAGAACGGGTTTCCCGGGGGGGAGGAGGTAGCTGGGATGTATGGCGAGATGCTCCGCGCGGCGACGGCGCTTGTGCCCGGGCGGGAGGAGGTTGTGGAGGAGGACGGGGTTGCGGTGCCGCATAATGTGGTCCTGAGCGAGCGGTGGATGGTGGTTGTGCCGCGGACGAAGATGGATGTGGACGGGGGCGGGGTGAATGCGGCGGGGATGTTGGGGATGGTGTGGGCTTCGGGGGAGGAGACGTATGAGCGGTGGATGGGGATGGGGCCGCGTGAGGTGTTGGCGGAGGTTGGTGTGAGGAAGAGGTAGAGTGTGGAATGATGATAGAGGGTAGAACTCGTACGAGAAGGGATGATGTACAGGATGTAAGCGATCAGAGCAAGTAGACGATAGAACGGTTTAGATTAGTTTCTTAGCATTAACGATACGTGTGTTATATAGAATTGCTTCTATCAGCTCTCATACTTCTCGGTGTATCTCAAAACCCAGCTTTACAAACTGCCGCCCTCATCGACAGCAAGATGCCACTCTCACCTCTCAAAGACAAAACCCCAACCCTCACCCTCTACAACTTCCCCTTCCTCTTCTTCTCCAGCACAACATACCCCGCCTCCGCCCTCGCAAGCACCGCCCCCTCCTCATCCACCATCTCCATCTCAACCACAAACGTCCTCCCCTCAACCTTCACCAGCCTAGCAACAACACCAACCACGGCCCCAACCGGCACCGCCCTCCGATACTCCAGCTCCAACGTCCTCGTCACATGGGGCAGCATCTCCGTCCTCCCATACATCTTATTCACGAACCCCACCGCGCCAGCGCACTCGTCGAAGATGGAGGCCACAACGCCGCCGTGCACGCGCTCGCGCTCGAGGGTGCTCAGCCCGTGGGAGAGCTTGAGGAAGAAGCGGACGTGGGCGATGTACCGCTCCTCAAGGGGCGCGGAATCGGAGGGCGTGGAAGAGGGAGGGGGGTGGAAGCAGCCGATGAAGTAGGGGATGGTGGCTTTGCTGTGCAGGGTGACGCCCCAGAACTCGGAGGCGCGGAGGGAGGGGTCGAAGTGCCGGGTGATGGGCGGCATGGAGATCAGGCCTGGCTCGCGGAGGGTGGCGGAGACCCAGGGGATGGTGGTGAAGTAGGCGATTTGGTCGGCGTAGGCTGGGTCGGACATGTTGGTGTTTGGGGGTTTGTGGGTGATGCTGTGGGTGGTTCTGGAGAGGGGAGACTGAGTTCGTCTTATGTTTTGTGTGGAATTAGAGATGAGTTATCTAGTAAAGAAACGGTCGACTTGGCGAGAGACATCCTTCCGGGTCTGCCGTGCTCAAGTATCCACGGCGGAGGTAGCCCGGCGACCCGGCAGTTGGCCGTCGGGTTTCCGGAGTACGGCAAAAGCCCTATCGGTGGACCACGGCAATTGAAGAATTGCATGACGTGGAGTATCGCGATATCAGAGTTTATTCTTGGCGAGAACTTTGATATATCATGTTCGGGGGTGTTCAGTAATCTTCTTGTGCTTTGGGTTGTAGAAGTTAGGATGGCATGTCTTGAGATGCGAATTCGACAACTCAAGGATGATGAAAGACCTGGAAAAACATCTTGGCGCCAATACCAATATCAATAACTACCGACATGAACAGGTTTTGCTCCACGAAATGGCATTTGCTACCTATGCCGAGCTTTCCAGTCCATGTGGCAGAATAGTGTACTACGAGTATGCAGATTATTTCTGTGATTATGGCCTTAGGGATGATTTTTGTTCTTGGTCCTCGTCGTCTTTGTTCTCCTCGTTGTCTCCTTTATCCTATGTTGTCGTCTTTATCGTCCTAGAAGTCCCTGTCCTATCTTTCTCTGCCACCCCTTTCGTTACTATCCCGGCAGTAGCTACGGCTCTTGTTGTCATTTTCCCTATCGAAACGAATAGCCAGAAGTACACACATGTATATGGGAACTGAACGAGGCTATCTTCAACAGCAGGCATCATATGCCGCCACCGCTCTCAATACTTCCGTAACTATAACTCGAATGTTACCCGTGGACAGATCATAAGCTTCAAAGCTTCAAGAAAGCATCTGCCTCTTTCCAAAACTCCTCTGGCGTCTCGATCCAAGGAAAATGCCCAGCTCCCGCAAGAACCTTGATCTCAGAGTCTTTGATACCATCAGCAACAGCCTGTGCTCCCTCTCCGCTACAAACCGAATCCTCCTCCCCTTGAAGAATCAGCGTCTTTGCCTTGACCAACCCAGCATCCTTGATATGAGACAGCGTATTCTCCTCAGACATATCATTCCGGTTCGTCTGCCACGCTGACGCAGTCGCGGTGTTCTTGCTCGCCACAGGCCCAGCCATGTCCCGTCTCAGGATGTCAGCGTTCTTCACATCGGCGAACCACCAGACTAGCATCGTGGCCAGAGACTCCCTAAAGTACTCATCATCCTTCGGCCCGCCGGCCTTGGCGATTTCAATCAGCTTCTTCACGGAAGGAGCATACGCCTCATCATCCTTGCGCTTCTCCATCCACGCCCTCACATGTCCCGGAGCGCAGTCCATGACCTGCGGCGCGATGAGAAGTAGTTTGGAGACGTTGTCCGGGTACCGCTGGGCGTAGCGCAAGGCGATGGCGCCGCCGTGCGAGTGGCCGATGAGAAGCGGGAACGTTTTGAGACCGAGGTGAGAGCGGAGGTGTTCCAGGTCCTCGACCATGGTCCTCGCGTTCATGGTGGATGGGCCTGCTTTGCTTGAGTCGCCATTGCCGCGGGGTTCGAAGTACAACACTGTGCGGTTGGCTTCGAGGCGCGGGCCGAGGCCGTTCCAGAGGTAGGATGCGGAGAGACCCCAGCCGACGGATTGGATGACTGCTAGGGGGCCGGCGCCGCGGATGAGGTAGCTGAGGCGGATGCCGGAGGTTTGGAAGAAGTGCTGGCCAAGTGAGAGTGGCAGTGATATTGTGGTAAGGTACTTGATATGGATTGCAAGATTTTGCCGGGCAAAGTAGTAGACACCGCGTGCTTGATTGCATCTGCTTCGTGGTTGCTCCTCCGGGATGCAAGGGGATGAAAGGGCGTATCTGTAAGCAAGACACATCAAAACACACTAAAATCTGACATCCACTTCCTGGGAGATGAGTCCAGATAAGATTGAGATTAGAGCTGCATAATTACTACACGATTTAATCTCAGACGTCTGCGCAAGGGTTTCTGCCTCGACCCACAATACAACTTCATTCGTTCTCTTTTCCACGAGACCGCATTCTACTGCATGCTGTGAAATGCGAGAGAACTTCAGCCGACCTTTTCATCAACGCTGTCATTACTTAGTTGCGTAGAAATCGTCGAGTTCCTTTTTCCATGACTTCAGTTTGTCCATCGCCTCATCCTTACTAAGTCGATGACCATCTTTTCCTTTCATCTGCATGTCGACTCCATGAGCTCCCATAAGGAATTCCATGGTCTCAAATCGGCCGTACTTAAGATATTCTTCCATACCAGTACCTCTTGATGCTTGACAAGCCTGGTGTGACCCGTTGTAAATATCGTCGGTGATAAAAATAGAAAAGTCAGACCCAATATCTAACAGAAATGATTCGACTTGGGGTGAACTCCAAGAAGCCACTCCTTTCATCATGGTCTCCGTGATCGTGATGTCATCTCCGCCCATCCTCATGAGATGGCCTGCATTGAAGGGGAAGAAGTCCAAGCCCAGGTCCTTGTAGTTTTGAAACCAAGTCTCCAAGTAGCCTTGTGTGAAGCCAAATCCATCCTGGCATGCCAAGAAATCCAAGGCGGCCGACCCCCTCATAGGGTTGTTCATAGCACTCAAAATCAAGTCAGTTGTGACTTGTTTCCCGTCCTCCATTCCGAAAAGCAGACGGAGCATCTCTACGCTGATTTCGCGGTTACTAGCAGCCGCGCAAAAAGCCTCTGCACGGATCTTGAGGTCAGGATGCTTCTCGGAGAGGAACTTCACGATATTCACCCCAAGTTTTTCGTTTTCAGCCGCCGTAGCCAACGCAAGGTCACTCGCTTTGGCGTCTGGGCTCCGCTCATAGAGGAATGTCAGAATTTCCAGGGCACCATCCGGCCTGGTACACGCTTCTTCCACCATTTTTTCTGTTACATGACGATCAGAACGTCTGGAGAGAAGAGCATCCAAAACATCTGGACCGCAATCTTCGTTTCTGATAGCTGAATAGATTGTTTGTTCCGATGGTATCAGAGCAGGCCGCTTGTCCAACAGTAGCTTGAGCATGTGACCACCACAGGATACGTTTTGGGCTGCGGACTCAAGCAGCGTTGGTGGAATTTGCGTATCTGGAAGCGTCTGGAAAATCAGGTTCATTATGCGGCTACCCTTGTAATTCCGTGCGGCAGGTTCCAAAGCCCTTTCTGTGATAATTGGCGTGGGCGGACGTGTGAGGAGAAATTCAATGGTCTTCATTTTTCCATTATCAATCGCACACTCGATCGGTGAACCGATGTTCAAGGGATTGTAATTGACGTCAGCATTTTTCTGGACAAGGATTTTGACCAATTCCAATTGTCCGTTCCATGATGCAGCTTGGAGAGGGCTGACCTTGTTGCTCATTGCTTGGCGTGAATCAAACAGGTTTGTCGATGCGATCTTCTCAAATACGTGCGTAATTCCAAAGAATGCGGCGAGGCCCAGCTGGTCAAAGCTCTCTAGTTTCAATTCGTAACGGCGCCTAAATTTGTTTAAAGATTTGTTGTGATTTAGCCACCTGGCAGTGCCGGGTTGTGCGATATCGCAGAGTGACCGGACTTGGTCATCATACTCCTCTCGTTGACCGGGATCTAGCCTTGCATAATAATCAGGCCAGTATTTGGCAGCGTATTTTCCTAAATGCCAAGAATGAGAGAAGCGTCCAAAATGAAGGCCAACATATTCTGCATCGCCTTCATCACCCTGCTCAAGTGAAAGAAGCGACATCTGTAGTAACTTAAGGCAAGTAGAGAGCATTGCGGTCTGCGTCTCAGGGTAGCTGAATCTCCCTTTCCAAGAGCCAGGGGTATGGTTCGGGCTGAGTAAAAACTCCCTGACCGTTTGGTGTAAGAACGATAGTTCGTCTTGGCCACGCCAATTTGTTGTCACAGTCACCAGAAACCCCGTCCAGTTCTGCGCGACACTTGGAAAGCCTATGCCCCAACATTCGTCATCAAGATCTCGTAATGACTTCCATTGATTTGTCCTCGAGCAGAGAATAGTCAGCGCTGGGTCTGCCACTCTCACTTCGAGTGGCCGAGGAGCGGCCAGCATAAGTTGGAAGAGATATTCCGTCTTAAACCCCGTGTCATTATTCAAGCGTCGAAGAACTTGTTCATAGACCTCTGAAACTTCGGCAGGTAGACTTTCAAAAAGGTGAAGAATGTCTGATTTCCTCATGTATTCTGTGGGCTCTTCTTTGATCATCTGAAAGACGAGGCGAAGCCAGAGATAGGTGCGGTTTTTCATGGCTTTCAAATGTTGCCCGATGTCTTCCTGGTCGCTCTTGGAGAGATGTCCTGTGATAGTTGGAAGATTCTCCTTGATAACCAGTTCGATTTCCTCACTAATTTCAAGCAAGTTTTCATCTCCGTTGATATGTGAGCTCTGCGAGGGGTGTTCAGGTTTGAAAAGACCCTGTAGAGAAAGCTGTATGGCTTTCCAAGAACGACTTGTGATGATAACCTTCAGGCTAGAGTTTGTTGACGATTCTTGTTCATATGTGTCGTAAAAGTTCTTCAGATAGTCCACGAGTCGCTTTCTTTCCTTCGTTTCACATTCGTCAAGGGCGTCCAGAACACAGATTATCTCACCCACGTCCGGCGCATGAATGCAGCTTGTGAGGATGTCGCAGAGCTCGTCAAAAGAGTCTCTCAGACCAGCACCTGCACGGTGGTAGGGAGTCTTTGCCTTTTTGATGAGATTACCGGTCAAATCTTGGGCGAATAGCTGATGCAGAATGGCAGCAACAGCATCACATGCCCTCTCTCGCTTATCATCGCCACTTTTGAAGAAGAAATAGCAAACAGACGAAGTTGCAGCCCTCTCTGGAGACTGGAGAAGTCTTTCATCGATAAGAGCCCTCGATAAGACTGACTTTCCGTAACCTGGCCCGGCCGATATCCAAAGGAGACTCGAGGATCTGCTGTCTCGCCATCGACGGAATTTCGGGCCTTGTAAGACCCACTCGCAAGTTCCTTGTACTCGCTCAGGATTGGCGTTCTTGTGACCTTTGAAATTCGCATGAAGACTTGCTAACAGCCTTCCCTCAAGCTGATCTTCATACTGGAATTGGATTTCCTCCAAGCTCTTGGAGATGTCTTTGAGAGCTAGCCGAGAGTTGTGAATTTCGACAAGCTGCATCTCCATACCGTCTTGGGATACTTTACGCTGAGCGGCTTCGAGATAGGTCTGACAATTCTGGTTTAACTCGTTAATGCTTTTGGTCTCGGCCTTCCAACCGTTCCACCCAAAAAGATTTTCCCGCGCTCGGGAAGTCTGGGTGGATGACAAATGGCAAACTGCATGAGCGTAGTATCTGACAATATGACGGTGCAAGTCGATGAAGACGTCGTAAAAGCTTCTTCTTTTGTGGCTCCTAAATGGATAGACAGAGCTCTCTGGAATTTTCCAGAACACCAACATGCGGTTGATCTCTTCGAGGCCAGTTATCATTACCTCGTGCAGCTCGGTTCCCGCATTCACAAGCTGACCATATTAGCATGTGTACTTGGATAGCAGACTCAGGCAGTGTATATCTTACAGGTAGAAGGATGGAAACTGCTGACCAAGCTAACGCGGCGTACGGCTGGGCGCTGAGTGCAGGCCTCACCACGGTGTCTGTCCAGAGCAGGAATTTCACCATTTTTTCGACTTGCGAGCGGACGTGAAAACTCTTCCCGGCAAACGCAACTTTCCACTGCTTCTCGTCTCGCTTTCTTTCGAGATTCTTAACGGTCGACTCGACAAAGTTAACATCGAATTCAGCAGTATCCTCCTCATGTGCAGGGTTGATAACCTTGGCGTAAGCTTTGGCTAAATCACCATCGCTCTCCTGGAACTTCCGAAAAGCTGCAGCCCACACATCTTCAGGCGTTTCAGGCTCTTTGTTCTGTATTTCCAGTGCCTCAAGCTGCTTCGTTGGTGTTGGGTCGGGTGTGTTCGCTCGAGGTGGCGAAAGCACTGTGGGTGCGAGCTCAGAGGTAGAGGAGACCGACTTGCTATCGTCTGCTTGCGAGGAGACTGCCGTGTCACTGTCTTTGGACCCGAGAAGGCGTCGGCGCCAGACGTCTCTTTTGCGCTCTCGCGCCATAACGGTATTGACATCCTTTTACAACGCAGGTCTTCCTTTGAGAGTGTCGTATTGTCTTGGGGAACGCTCTTCTGCAGAACTGATGTGAGAAACGTGAGATCGAGATCAGGCTGGCAAAACACGTCGATGGACACGCAGTAAACCCCGCATATCACGTGTGTATGTTACACAGAGCTGTACTCGTATTCCGAGATCCACTGCTAGACCGCGATAATCCCCTGCGGCGCAGCACTCCCTTGCTCGCTGGCGATTTACTGACGGCCAATAGTTTTCGTCGCCAAGCGCATGCATCACTACCTGGAGCCTGACAATCGGCATCCTTGTCACAGTTCGATGAGGCCCAATCGTGATAAGAATCGAAGTTAAGGTGTTTGGCACAGTGATACAATTGCCGTCAAGCGCGAGTGGGCATGAGCTTTTGGGGCATGTGAGTACAAAGAAAGCATATCGTCTGTAAAAGCAGACAAAATACGCTCGGTCTCAGAATGGGGAGGACATCCACCAGCTCAGGCAACTGCTGATCCCTGTGGGTAGGCTGGCAACTGGCAGATGCAGCCAGAGGTGGGCGATCCAATGGCGGGATGGGTCGCCAGAGCACGAGGCGGCTGCCACAACAGTACTAAAAGCCCAGAATCATCTTGCTTCCCGAGTCTCGTGTGATGAATTCCATTCCGGTGACGGATTATGTCTGCCCGACATCTCCAGCTCGCCTCAACATCATCTCATGCCTGTTGATATCCGCAATGCTTTCATCGAAGAACTGCAAGATGGCGCCGACCGCATAGACAACTACCTGGCTACCATAGAACCTGGCTATCCAGATCGTGCAGCCATATTATATGGAAAGTGCATGGTTTACTATGTAAAGTGGAAGAAGTCCAGAGAACCGCAAGACGTGGATAAGGCCGTGCAAGCAGGTCGCGCAACTGCCGCAGCTCTCTTGCCGAACGATGCCAGCAAAATATCGGTCTTCAGAAACCTGGCCGTCTCACTCAAGGGCCATTTTCGATACACATACCATGTTGAGGACCTCGATGATGCGATCAAGTACGGCAGACTTGTATTGACTTGCTTCGCTCAAGGTAGCCACCAATGGAAGACAGCAAACGCAAATCTTTGCGATATGATTTGCGAGAAGGGCTGCTTCTATCGTACGAAAGAGGCCCTTGACGAAGCATGCGAGTTTCTGGAACAAGCAGGTACACCCGGTTGGCTAAGAAATCCTGTGAATCGTCACGGCTTGCATTCCTATCGGCCGTCTTGGTATACCGATTCGAAACAACAGGATCTGTCAAAGACCTTGAGCGAGGTATAGAAGTAGGCTGCAAATCGATTCAAAACCTCGGGGACAGAGCCATGCCAACTTTCGAGGCTACTTTTGGTTGAGATGGATGATGGGCGATACACCGACGCGATGCGTGCTTTTTGTCTTTGTTCTCATGGCTCAATTCTAGAACTGAACCGCAGGAGATAGCGAGACCCGAATCCGTAACTGTCGATGGAAGCTCTAGAAGAGGCTTTGGAGTTTGGTCGGAAAGCCCTGTCAATCATGCCTCCTCACGCAGAAAACGGACCGATGCTGCTTAGCACCGTTTCTTCGTGGATAGGAACCATGGCCAAATGGGTACAATATATCAAATGGACAGAAGAGGGCATCGAACACCAGGCCGGTCGCATTCACTGGGAATATGGAGAGCTGACACAGGCGAACGCTATCTTCCAAACTGCTATTGGGCTGTTGACTGAAAGCAACATCCAAGCGGCATCTGCAGAAGACTTACAGCAGACGCTACGTGAGATACCGAACCTCGGTAGCCTTGCAGTATCTGCTTCATTGGCCGTGGGACGCCCTCCCGTTGAAGCAATCAAGTCTTTAGAAGCTGCGAACTGCATTCTGGCGGGGCTTGCGATGGATTCAAGGGGCGATGTTTAAGAACTCGAGCGAAGATACCCCGAGTACGCCAATGGCTACATTGGCCTCAGGACCCGAGTTGCACATGCAAGTAGGCAGTCCCAAAGCGCTGCCAACTATCAGAAAGACACGGCTCCTCAGCAATCTCTGATTCGCGAAATGGCCTCCATGGAAGAGGATATCAGACATTTGGAAGGGTTTGAGCAGTTCCAGTTGCCCCTCGGCGCTATTCAGATGACGCAACTTGCAACAGATGGTCCCGTTGAAACGATCAACGTGTCTGAACTCCGCAGCGACGATATAATTGCTACAAAAGAAGGCATTAAATCTCTGCACCTGCCAGGCTTGACACTTGCCGCTCTTCAGAGCCATGCCTCTGTTTTTAACAGCCGTGGGAACCCAGATAGGAGGGATATACGAAAACCTCGGGCCTCTCCAAATGTTTTCACAGAGACCGGCATCCGTTGGCTATGGGAAGTGGCGGTGCGTCCAATTATGGATGTCACTAAGCTCACATCGTCGGGTCGTTTGTGGTGGATCACTAGTGGTTTGGCGGGAAGGATGCCGTTCCGTGCGGCAGGCAATCATGCCGGCCGCCCCGAAGAAAGTGCGCCCAGCCGAATAACTTCGTCCTATATTGCATCGTTTAAGGCACTCAAATATGGCCGAGATAAGGGTGCCGCAGCCGTTCCTGGTCAGAACATGTTCCAGGTCACGATATCCACCAATGTGCCGCCGCACCGCCATCTGAACACCGCCTACGAGGAAGAGGCTATTGGAGCAGTCTTTGGAGCAGACAAGTTGCTTCATCTAGCCGAACCTGACCCGTAAAGTGTTCTCAACAATATACCGGAGTTCTCGTTTGTGCACTTCGCCTGTCATGGCGCCTCGATCAACAACGACCCGAACAGGAGCGGGCTTTCCCTCGTTAAGGACGGAAAGCCTGCAGATCTGACGATTGACAATCTTGAGGAGATTGAGCATAAAGAGGGCTCCGTAGCTTATCTTTCAACATGCTCGACAGCCCAGCAGACAGACAGCAAGCTTGCCGGTGAAGCCATACTTCTGGCTTACTCTTTCCAGGTGTTGGGCTTCCAGCACGTCACAGGCACCATGTGGGGAGCAGACGACGCTGCAGCCGGGGAGGTAGCGAGGAGGTTCTACAAGAAACTCATGTCCCCCACTGAAAATAGCATGGGCGATGGACAGCTAAATGCTGCGACTGCGCTGCACGAAGCTGTTAAGGAGTATAGATTGGCATCTCCGGGGCAGAACTGCGTGCTTAAGTGGGGTCCTTTCATTCATGTTGGTATTTAGGAAAGCATGCTATGTAAGGTATGTGTATGCAACGAATCGTCGTGTAGTCGATGGTAGAACCGCTATTCATGAACGCTTGACTCAATACTCCAATCACTTGTCACCCTTTCCATGCTTGATAATGCTCCCTGAGAGTAGTCTCCAGAGGTCGATACTCAATTCCGAGTTCCTTGTTACTCCGGCTGTTATCCACGGCGAACTTGGTACCCAGGTTTCTTGATATCCACTTCCTCGTTAACCCAAACAAAGGTCCTATGACCCGGACTAGAAAGTCAGGCAGAAGGTGGTCTGGAATGAGCATTGATCCACTCAGCCTCCGGAACAGCTTTGACATCTCCAAGAAATTGACCATGTCTCGCGACGCCACGATGTATCGACCACTTGCTGTGGGTATTGAGGCAACCTTGATATGTGCCGTGACAACCTCACGCACGTCCACTGTCGCAAAATTGAGGTTAGGTACGCCGAAGAACAGCTTACCACTGAGAAGCTCGTCGATCAGAAACAAGCTGCCTGAGTCCGATCCGGCAGACAATGGTGGCCCAAGGACTAGTCCTGGGCAAACCACGACAAGATCCCATCGGCTTTCTTCTTTGGCAATTTCCCAGGCTTCCTTTTCTGCGAGTACTTTAGAGTAGTGGTATGGGTTGTGCGTTACGGTGCTGGTCTCGTTGAAGTACTTTTCGGATAACGTGCCTCCCATCTTGTCGTTGACGTCCTCGTAGTCCCCAAATATGGCCCCGACTGCAAGCACAATTTCGAAGTCAGCAGCCTGTTCTTACCGAAACGACGTTGCTTTCGTCGTAAAAAAGTGGAATGCGCGGACATACTTGTAGATGTTAGAACAACACGTTTTACTGACGTTGTCTCTTTGACGCTTGCGAGTACATTTCGGGTACCTTCCAACGCCGGTTCGACACATTCCTTCTGCCCGTCCTTGATCATCTCCGCCATCATAAATGGTGATGCAACATGATGAACCACCGAGCACCCCTGCATCGCCTCCTTGAAAGATCCAGGCCTGAGGAGGTCGGCCTCGAAAAGCTGCAATCGCCCTGCATGCTTTTCTTGAAGACCCTTGAGAGAGGCTACCTTTTTGGCATTTCGGAGGCTTCGTACTGTCGCATTTACGCGGATACCCTGCGATAAAAGTTCGTTGACGAGATGTTGTGCGATGAAGCCGCTGCCGCCGGTGACAAGGTGCGTTTCGGCAACTTCCATGCTGTATCAAAGAAAACAACAAAATAGCACTTTATTTCTTGGTGGCTGGCCTTTGCGTAATGGTAAACTTTGGATGAATTCTCACATCATCCCTTTTTGCACAGAATAGCCTTGTCTTTTGTTTGTCGGACGAGCGAAGTGTCTTTGTTCTGGTTGAGAACCACTAATTCCTCGGCGCCCGCGGATAGCGGATCCCAGGGCGTTGCCATCACAGGGAGGCATTCTTTGGTGGAACTGATCGCCTCTTTCGCATAATACGATATGCTCGGGTTGCTCTGTAAGATCCGCGGGTTGACGCCGCGATTACAAATAGAACTGACATTGTCACGTTGCGTTTTTACTTGTGCGTGTCATCGCATCAGTCGTCGCGTCTCACTGAATGATGCGGTTGTCTCCAGCATTGAGACACACATCTGCTTTCTCGAGGACTGTGGGAGGATTGTACTACCTCGCCGCGGAACACCGAACGTCATTTCAGATGGCAGTAAGTCGGCAATTCGTTGAGAGGTTTGAGGGGCCGAGTACCCGAACCCCTAACCGCGTACTACATCGGCCGAGAGAACTTTTCAAGCGCAGCCATTTTATATATAAATCAAGAGTATCTACCGTTAGAAGTTTCCGCCATCCCAAATTACCATCAAAAGCCATCTTGTGCCATCGATCAGTCGTCAAACCAAGATGACCGGGCTCCATTGTGGATTCGCACTCGTCCAAGTCTCGGGGCTAACTCTCCCAAGAGCCAGCCTTGAGTACAATGGACCCTGTCGGGATCCCACCATGACAATGATCGCCCAGGGCTCGAAAGGTTGAAAGTATGGATACTTCCCTAAGAAAAATACATTTTCTCTGTCAGCACTTTTGAACATGTGGCCAGCAGCAAGAGCGAAAACAGGGTATGTTTCCTCAACGAACTGCCTCTGAGCCAATTCTCTGTCCATCAATGCAGTTTCTCCGACGAGTAAGCCCTCTTCGGTGTATAGACCCATTCGAATGGCTGAAGTCTCTTGACTCTCTACATCGTCCTCGGGCAGGACCCTGAGTCTCAGTAGAGCCACAGTAGTGTTGAAGACCAGACAATGAGGATGCTCTTCAGCCATTCTCCGGGTGTTGTCATCAATATCAATGTGTTCGAGAGCATTCAAAGGGCCATGTACGCAATTGTTCCAGACACCGATCGGATCCTTTCCAGGTCTGCTTTTGCTGATGGTGTTGCCAAGTATTTGCCGTGAGACATTGGCCTGCTTCCCCATCTCAAGTGGCTTTGAGTTGAACCAGATTCGGTCTTCTTCCAGCGGCCGCAAGCGCGCAACCCCGTTGACTTGGTCGCAATAGAACAGCGAAACCAGACTGCCGAAATGGAACCGACTGAGGGGACGCAAAAACCTCAATGGGTGATCATTGAATAGGACTTGGCCTGCCCACGCCGCCCATGTCCAGGTGGGCAATCCGGGGGGCTCGGCCGCTAAGCCTTGCGTGCCTTCGTAGCCCCAGAGAATGGCCTGCAACATGAAACATTCAGGGATCCCGAAGAGAATGGGAGTGTTGCTCAAGAAACCGAAAACCTTCAGCACTCCTTCAAAAGCGTTCAGGATATCGCTCCTGTAAGTCATTGTTCGGCGAGTATAGCTTTCAGTCAGCCGCCCATACATTTCGGCAAAACCTCCATGGTGCGATACGCTCCGGCGAAGACCGGTCTCGAATCCTTGGCCATGCGACTGGCGACCTATCTGCTGGAGGTCGCTTGGGGTGGCCTCTTTCTCGCCGAGTCTTAAGTTGTCGTGGAAGCAACTGAAGAAAACGTCCGAAGCACCAAAAAAGATATGCCGACGGCTAAGCAACCTTTCTTGGTAAGTCCACGCCCTTGTATCCCACTCAGACTTCTCAACAGCCTCAGATGTGATGATCATGCTGGCTCCAACGCAGTGTCCGTCAATACTTAAATGCCAGCATCGATTGTCAAGGTTTCGTTGTCGTGGTCTGTCAACAAGACCAGGCAACCCAGTGCCAACACCATCAGCGCAGGCTACGATGGTAGCAAAAGCCTGCTGATATATCGTGTCCATGGCCTGTATTTGTGAGAGTTTGAGATGGTCATCATCTTGAACAATGCACAGTCGATCTACCCACAGGTACCGGCGACCCATGTTCCTACACAGCAGCATCGCGTCACTGATCACCTCGGGTATCAGTGACTCCTTCAAAGAATGAGGTATTTCAAGCTCATCCATGTTGTTCTTTGTCAATTGAAGATCTGCCTCTGGGAAGGCCGTCGCGGTTCGCCATTGATAACTCAGAGCCATGTAATCCATCCCCTGCTGAGCCCGGATGATACATCGAAGAGCGGCATCGATGAGTCGGAAGCCAGCCGGGACCGGCGTTTGAGATATCGGAACATTGCATTTGTGGCCATGATAGTTGGCGCAGTTTTCGAGGTACTGCTTGAGCTTTGCTATGTTGCTGTATGATCGATCCCAGCGATTAATAGCCTGTAATCTTTGGCCCCATAACTCATATTGAAGTTCGAGCTCCAATACTAGAGGCTCAAATTGAACTATGCCATTGGACTCTATTCGCAAGCATATGGGAAGAATGCACTGCTCAACCATAGCTCGAGCTTGTTCGTCGGCAGAAATCCCTTCAGTGGGTTGACGGTGGTGCACCGGGAAAGGTCTCCAAATAGCAAGTTCAGCATTCCCCTCGCCGAAGACATCCAGGTGGGCGAGTTCCTTGCCTACGTGAGAGCAGAGAACACATCTTTTCTGTTGGGAATAGAACTGGAATGGATAGAATTTGAGGTCCGAAATGCCCTGGTCAAAATGATCATCTGTCTGCGGGTGGTCCTGCGAAACATCGGCCCCAACATCGAAAGATTGCGGGTTAACCCGCGCGTACACGTCATCTTGACAGAATACCACGTGTATGAAATCATCCCATGGCTGACAAACTTCGCAGAGAAGTGGGTTATCGGGTCGCTCGAAAGGTGTGGCCTCGCAGAAAGAACATGTCCAATCATGCTTCCAATGATCTAGGCACCAACGGCACTTTCTGATCCGCAGGGCGTCTTCTTGCGTGGGTTCAGCCGGTGGAATATCTAACGCCGGTAGGTCCATCTTCGTGAATTACTGTAACTGAAAATATGTCGAGACAAGTCAGTTTGGCCCCAAAACTGATTGGCATTTCAAACAGCAGAGTGCTTTCGTGAAGCCCTTCTCGAACGTGAGCATATTGATCAGGCAGCAGCGTGACGTCTTATGTAACACGGTACAGATCGACGTGCAGCAGCGAAAGACGGGGCTGCCAGATTCCGGGCGAATAGAAGCTGACTATCTGTCGCACATTCTTATGAAGAAGTACATGGTCAGTCGTGAACACATCAAAAGGGAGAAAAGGAGAGGCCTCCCAAATGGGATCATGGACTGACTAGTGAGGAAACATTAGACTTGCTAATCAAATACCAAATGTCGTTCGAAAGGAATGTCGACAAGATATGGCGCAGGTCTGATTGCTCACAAGGCTGGGCGTAATTATTACAGGCAATGCGGGTCAGCGACTCAGCGAAGCCTGGCACGTCAAAGTTCAAGAAAGGTGTTGACGGCCTATCATTTAGCTCTGAGACGACTGCAGACGCAACTCGGAGTCGACGCTTTGCACTGGTGTCAACGTGCAACCTAATCTCTAAAGACTTCATTACTAAACATCTGGGAAAGGAAACTTTCGCCTCTGTGAGGACCACCTGGAAGACAAGGAGAACACAAAGTCGGCATAGCTCGGTATACTTG